CACTGCCTGGGTACCAGCCTTCCTTAGCTCTGCTCCCTGGTTGCTGAGAGCCATTCACAGGACCTCCCCCGCCCATCTTAGCTCTTGATGACCTGCACTAGAGAACCACGTACCATTATGCACTGCATAATGACATTTTGGTCAATGATGGAGTGCGTAAACAGTGATAGTCCCACAAGGTTATAATGGAGCTGAAAAATTCCTGTAGGTGATGCTGTGGCTGACATAACATTTCAGTGCACTCTGTTACTCACAAGGTCAGGGTGATGCTGTGTAAACAGACCTACTGAGCTGTCAGTTACACAGAAGTATACCTTAATGTCCTTGGCCTTTATGTTCATTCACCTCTCTCCCTAACTCACCCAGAGCAACTTTAAGTACCCTATATGAGTGTACATTTGTACCTTTTATGCTGTATTTTGACTGTACTTTTTCTACGTTTACATACACAAATAGTTACCATTGTGATAAAATTACAGACAGTACTCAGTATAGTGACATGCTGCAGGGGTTTACAGCCTAGCAGCTGTACACCATACCATACTGCCAAGATGTATAGTAAGCCATGCCATCTAGGGTTGTGTGAGCGCACGCTACAATGTCTGCAAAACAATGAAATCACCTGACAATGCCCTTCTGAGAACGCATCCCCACTGTTAGGTGATGTGTGACTGTGCTAAGTGAGCAATTTGAAGGTTCTCTGTAGACAAAGCTTTAAATATCCATTTTGTTTCGGTGACTTAGTATATTTTTCAAGAAAACTAATTTTTACTTAAGAGGCAAGTGAGTTGCCGAATAATACAGGTGTGTAAAATGCTACTCTAAGTTTTGTTTCAGTATCACAATGAAGCAAAAGCCATGACATGGCTAACACATCCTGCCACAAGGCCTTATGTCCAATTAAACCAGGAGTTTCAAGACGCATGCTGTTGAGAATACTTGCTCTATTAGCAACATAGAACCCAAAGGCCCTGAAGGCCTTTCCAAGCAAGGGTGTTTCTGATGAAAGTGAGAAGAGGTTTCGTGATTCTAAAGGAGGCAAGCCTGTGAAGCTAAGGCCCTATACAAGGGGAATAAAAGTTTCTCATGATGGCATTAAACTCTATTTATTATTTGAAACATGGTGTACATTTACGTATTTGTATAAACATTTAGTACATCTAAAATCCACAACTGGTAAACAATCTGTGCTTTCTTTTGTGTACAAGTTTGGAGTTTACATCCAGATAATTTGGGGTTGTGGAGATCCAGTCTGTGAATCTAATCAAATTGCCTCATATACCATAATAACTGTGACAGAAGTGATTTGCTCTTTGAAGGGGCTGTTCCTTGCCCAGAAAAGGTGTCACACTTTGGAACTAATAAACCAGGTATCAAGGAATCAAGAGAAACACAGCTGACACGATGGAGAAATTATGTGCAGGACACTCTTGGGGATTCAAGTCAATGCACAGCAGGTGCCACAAGCCATGTGACACCAGGAAGTGAGCATCCCCTTTCTGAACCACTGGATATTTGGGTCAGGTCTCCCCTACCCCAAAGGGAGGAGTTCTGTCCAGCAAGAGCATTCCCTCTGCTCAGCACACTTCTTGGGGTGCCTCATGAGTGTCAGAGCTGCAACTCCGAGGTGCCAACCAAGCCCAGGGCTCTGGCTTCTTCCGGTGTCAGGCCGCTCTTCAGGGTCCTTCGTACTGCATCAGCACCCGCAGATCCCAGCCAGAGGGGAGAGAAGAGAAGGCGGTATTAGCATCGAGGCATAGGTCAGTCAGTACACCGGTCCCTGCTTCTCCCCAAGGACTTCCCGGAAAGCCAGGGGGCCCACACGGTGCCCTTGCTAGCACACCCTGGCCATCTGTCTGCTACAGTGCAAAAATCTTAGCATTATAATGGGCTAATCTGAACATACTGTGGACATTGAGCTGGAAAGATGAGAGGAGTTGGGAGACTTACAAAGAGGAAAGAAGGGAGGAGAGGTTCACCCTCACAAAATTGCTGATAAACGGGTGCAAACGACAAAAGTACAGATGGCACGCTGAGACTTCACCGTCTGCCCAACATAAAGAGCATATCAGAGCCGGAAATGTAATTCCAGAGCATAGGAATATGTGAGTTCCAAAGATACAAATTAGGTTCGATAATGAGCAATGCATAATCAAAGGGACCCTAGAGACAATGACTAGTATAACCAGTAACTCCTTGCATAATTCATGCCAAGAAGCAGACTGCCAAAATACTTTTGGGTGAATGTGGTAGGTGTTTTGTATGTAACACACAAGGCTGAAGAAGGGACAATGGCCACCTTCACTGGGGTCAACTGGCAATTTGATGCTCACATTTAACTGACTTAGAATTGCCTGGTGTTTTGCTTGGCGTTATGGTTTTTCCCATTTGGTACTGATCAATTTTGACATTGAAATAAAGGCTAGATAAAGGTGAATGAAGCAGCTACCCCTCTCAAGATAAATCCTTTCATTTGAAAGGTTGACTAAGTATATTTTCCTTAATTTACAAATTGTATTTGGTCTACTGTATATTCCTACATGGGTTATACAGAGTTTGAAGGTATTTGTTCTATTTTTAGAAGAGGCAGGTTATGATCTTACCTAAATCTCAAATCAGCCAGAGTGTCTGAGATGATCAAGGCAGCTGATCATCAAGGTTTGGAGAATGTAAAGTTCACCTTACTGTTTTCCCATTTTCCTTGCCAGACCCAGCTCCTCTCATCTTTTCCCCAGAGGCCCAGGGCCACACCTATGGGTCTATAGGCAACACCCTATCCTTCCCTGAACAAAAGCTCACTTAGCCTGAGGACAAAAGATCTGAGATACCCAGGTCCATGGTAGAAGGAACAGGCTAATATCTATTAACAAATGGCTTCTTCTCTTCCAAGAATTAGCACTTTGAATAGGGACCAACATCTAATCCACCAACTGGTCAAGTGACAATTTATGGACAACCTATTGTGTGCTCAGCATTTAACTCAAGGAATGAAACCTCATATGGAAGACTCACAGACATCAAGTATGGCTTTTTCAAGAGACAGAGAATGTGTGGTGACCCTCACTTCTTACCACCCCCCACCACTGTACTTCCAAGCCTAGCCTTGTGCTCCAGAGCCATCCGTCCATAGCTGCTCGTGTGATAGCTCTCCCTCCCCAGATTCTGGCTCCTTGGGCTCCAGACCAAGTGTCTAACTCGACTAGACAAAATGTTTGGCTTCAGAATCTCGGCTGGAGGCAGATTACATTTAACTGAGTCATGGAATTCATTCTATGGGGCAGCAGTAAAAATACTAGTTTGTAATAACATGTTATGTTCTTTAAACATATCTTAAAAGTGTTTGTTAAAGCAAGATAACAATTTTAACTGCAGAAAATAAGATAAAATATCTCTTGAATAAGAAAGACCTCTTGCTGAGACCTCTTAACCAAGATACAAAATACTGCCTGAAGAAGTCCACGCTGCACTGGCTGTGCATCTTAGATTTCATTATCTGCAGAAGATGGCATGGACATGAGTCTATGAACCACAATCTTTGTGCATTTAGGTGCATTTTCTTGGCTGAATGACCACAGAACACCTCACAGATTCTTAGGCATTTTACTTAAGAAGGTATTTAAAGATGCCTACTCACTTTTGATGCTGCAAACCACTTTGGACCCTCCCCCAGCCCTTCCTTACCCCTCTAGCCATGGCAAATTGCTTGTCCCATGTGTCCCTGAAAAATGAGTATCATAGAAAAAATCTTGTCCATAATGGAATCTTGATTTCTGTGGGCCTTCATAACAAATAAGATAAATTCTCTTAGACATGTATTAACCCCTCAGTGCAATGAAAAAGACCTGGAGCATCTGAACACTCAATTCACTTTCCCATTTGAAAGACCATGTGAAACAAAAGCAATCTGCTAAAATCGGTTTCATATCCAGATTCAAGTCACACACAAAAAGGGCTCCATCTGCCTGCTGTCCAGGTCATTTGTCACTCAGCAGATGGTACCTGAACGGCAACCCTGAGCCAGGTGTTGTGATTAGAGCCTCTGGGTCATAGCAGCAGGGACACAGTGTGAGGAGAGACACTCAGTGCAGCAGACCAGATCCAGACAGGGAGATGGCTCTCACTCAGGTTTCAGAGAGCAGAAAAGGGCTGGGGACATAGAAGAACCAGGGGTCCAGCAAACAGAGGCTGGATATGGAATAGTACACAGTCAACTTGTACCAT